AAAAAAAAACATATGTCCGTGTGCTCGTTTTTGTGCTATGATCGGTCAAAGATACCAATTTACCACAACATGTGATTTTAGGTGATTTTTTGGGTTTTGACCATTTGCAGAACAAATTCATACAATTTCTTCCAAGTGTGTTATCAGATATGTATAAATGTTTGTAGAATTGTTGAAAATATTATTTTCTTTTAAAATATGGAAGTAAAATTTCTTAATTTTATTGTTTTAACTCAAAAAGCCGATTTTAGTTACCCCTACCCCCTATTTTTTAATGAAAAAATACTCATTTTTTACCATTTTGTTACAGATTAAACGCTTGATATAAAAAGTTCTGGTATTTAACTTTGTTTAATATTTAATGAATTAAATGAAAACGTGTTTCTCTTTCTAAAACATCTACAAAAATGGGGGGTCAGTGTGCTTCTTTTTTTGTCCCATTATCATTTGTGTTATTTTTTACTTTTTTCGGGGTCAAAAATCAAAAGTGCTTCAGTTACACTAAATACGTAAAAAAGTATCAATAATATATAATTTTCCAGTTTGTTGCATATTATTTTTATCATATTGAACATTATAAAGTTGTACAGCAAAAATGAACCTGCTACAATTACAAATGGCGACACAATGACAATTTAAGTGATCAATCTAGTGCCAAAAAAGGTGAAATTTTGGCCCTTTTTGAAGCACAAGAAATACACATTACTACACTTTTTCAAAATGGCCGCCGAATTGGTAATTTTTCTAAATTCTTGTAAAAAAAGTTCTACAAACAACAGGCATCTAGTTTTTTGACATATTTTTCAGATGCGTGTTTGCTAATAAACTTGTTCATAAGTTGTTAAATATTACAAAAACCCATTACACCAGATCAAAAAGAGACTTGAACGTGATTGAAACCTCAGAAGAGTACATCCTTAATCCTACACATACACACACACACAAGGTAAAAACAATGTATGTGCTGTTTTCATACAAGATACTACGAATAGAAATATTGAACGCAGTACCCGGGGGAAGCACAAAATATAGCACTTGAAGATCTTACACACCGGTGGACGCTATGAAAACAAATGTTAGTGTATAGCAGACAAAGAGGAGATATGATTGAAGTACATATTTAGCTCATTCCTGGTGTCATCTATAAGGACCTCACTAGTTTTTAAAAGTATGTTACCTAAATAATTAAGGATGTACTCTTCTGAGGTTGAAATCACGTTTACATCTCGTTTTGTTTTGGTATAACGAGTTTTTGGAATATTTAACAAATTACATGTATGATCAATTTTAAAAGCAAACACGCATCTGAACAATGTGTCAAAAACTAGATGCCTGTTGTTTTTACAAGATTATCTTTAAATGACCAATTCGGCAACCATTTTGGAATAAATGCGTATTTCTTGTGCTTAACGAAAGGCCAAAATCACACCATTTTTGACACTGGATTGATCACTTAAATGGTCATTTTGTTGCCATTTTTAATTGTAGCAAGTTCATTTGTGCTATACAACTTTAGAATGGTCAATATGATATAATAATGTGCAATAAAATGATATGTGATACATTAATGTTTTTGTATTTTATTTTATTTAGTGTAAATGAAGCAATTTTGATTTTTGCCCCCGAAAAAAAGTGAAAAATAGCACAAATACTAATTGGACAAAACCGAAGCACACAGACCCCGATTGTTGTAGCTATTTTAGAAAGAGAACTCATTTTCTTTTGATCCATGAAACATTTCAAATAAAATTATGGCAGAACGTTTTATATCAAACATTAAATAAGCAATAAATGGTGAAAATTGAGTATTTTTCATTAAAAGAAGTTATGAAATTTGAAAATGAAGATCAAATTCCACTATCATTATTAATAGGATAACAAACCAATTGAAAAATACTTCAGATAATATAATAAGTGCAAAAAGACAAAATCATACATTCATCGTTTTAATTCATTCATTGAAATAACAACTATAATGAATACAATTTACAATTGTGTTGCTGCTGTAATGAAAAAGTACAAAAAATAAATTGTGATAGGATCTGCTTTTATATATTGTACCGAGTCTTTTTAAATTTACCTTCTCTGAATAATGAAAATAATGAGTGAATGAATTTGCCTGTATGATAATTGGAATGAAAAGGAAATAATATATAGTTTACATGGAATGCAAGAATAATATATATTCATTGTACTGAGTTTTTGTTATTTCAATCTGATGAAAATTTCCATAATAAACAACAATGTATACTGAAATGGAGTAGAATGATGAAGATGTAATAAGTAGAAGAATGTATGCTGGTTACAAGATGAAGAATGATGTAGTGATATGTAAAACAATGTATGCTGGTTACAAGATGAAGAATGATGCAGTGATTTGTAAAACAATGTATGCTGGTTATAAGATGAAGAATGATGTAGTGATATGTAAAACAATGTATGCTGGTTATAAGAGGAAGAATGATAAACAATGTATGCTGGTTATAAGATGAAGATTAATGTAGTAATGTGTAAAACAATGTATGCTGGATATAAATTGAAGAATGATAAACAATGTATGCTGGTTATAAGATGAAGAATGATAAACAATGTATGCTGGTTATAAGATGAAGATTGATGTAGAAATGTGTAAAACAATGTATGCTGGTTATAAGATGAAGAATGATAAACAATGTATGCTGGTTATAAGATGAAGAATGATAAACAATGTATGCTGGTTATAAGATGAAGATTGATGTAGTAATGTGTAAAACAATGTATGCTGGTTATAAGAATGATGTAGATGCTAAGTATATAAAAAATTGCAAACTATTGAAATAAAACATTTTGAGAGAAAAAAATATAAGGTATAAGGGTAAAAAGAAAAACGTTTGAGATTTTTTAGTTCAATAATTTAAAATAAAATCCATTTTTTATCAATTCTGCAAACATTGATACATATCGGATAACACACTTAAAAGACATTGTATCAATTTCTTCTGCAAAATCACCTATAATAACACATGATGTTAAATTGGTATCCTTGACCGATCATAACGCAAGAACTAACACACGGACATTTTCTTATCTTTGCATTCTCTACTATGCCAATAACTCCTTTTTCAAAATACATTTCATAAAAAAGTTTAATTCAGGAAATATTTGACTTCTCAGAGGAGTACATCCTTAACAATTAAGATTATTCTTTGAAACGTAATTATTTGCATAGCGATTTGATAAAAAATAAATTCAAAAAGTCAGATTGAACTCCTCAGGAATGTAAGGCTTGCCACTTTTCTCAGCAATTAAAAAAAAACGTCCAGACAACCAATTGGAAAATAGACTTGTTACATGATTTGAAAATTCGTTGATATACTTATTTACCCGGACATTTGTAGTTAAAGTGTATCCGAATGATATATATATATATAAGTAAAGTAAATATCAGGCTAAGGCAAACGCAAAATATTTGTGATATCAGAACTTTGTTTCATTCAATGCTAGTCGAAAAATAATAGTAAGGGGCACAAAAGACACTTAGGTTAGGATACAGTATATATTTACTTATTAACCGAAGGGGATGAGCTATATAGCATAGAGGTAAGCTACAAAGTCGGTAACATTACCATAATAAAGTTGAAAATACCTCAGTTGATTTATATAATTTTTGAGCAAAATGCATAACACATATATAATAGATATGTATCTTACAATATTTTCAATATTTTTACACATTTGAAATTAATTATTACCCACCGATGATTGTCACATCCTGTCGGTAACACCAGACGATTACACTTGCTAGTGTTAACACGCCTATCGGCACCTGCCAAGTACACCTCATGACAGGAAAACTAAAACGAAATGGCAAAACCTGTAACAATTAATCACATACAATTTTGACACAAAATAATAAAATCTAAAACCACAACACCAACACGGAGTCAAAATAAGTAGAACAGAAGGTTCTGAACTCTAGGTAAGACATCTAGTGGGTTCTGAAAAACACCAAGTAGTGGTTCCTGAGCTCAAAGTAAGAAATAGATTTGTCCTGACCTCAAATTAAGAAACGTATTTGTTCCTGGGCTCTAAGTAATAATTCTATTGGCCCTGACCTCACATAAAACGGTAGTGGTTTCCAAACTTTAAATTAAGAAATGTAGTGGTTCCTTAACTCTAAGTAAGAAATGTAGTGGATCCTGAGCTCTTAATAACTAATAGATTGGTTCTTGACCTCAAACTAAGACATGTAGTGGTTCCTAAGCTATAAGTAAGAAATAGATTGGTTCTTGATCTCAAACTAGGAAATGTAGTGGTTCATGAGCTCTAAGTAAGAAATAGATTTGTTCGTGACCTCAAACTAAGAAATGTAGTAGTTCCTTAGCTCTAAGTAAGAAATAGATTTGTTCGTGACCTCAAATTAAAAAATGTAGTTCCTGAGCTATAAATTAGAATTAGATTGGTTCGTGACCTAAAACTAAGAAATGTAGTGGTTCTTGAGCTCTAAGTAAGAAATAGATTGGTTCGTGACCTAAAACTAAGAAATGTAGTTGTTCCTGAGCTCTAAGTAAGAAATAGATTGGTTCGTGACCTCAAACTAAGAAATGTAGTGGTTCTTGAGCTCTAAGTAAGAAATAGATTGGTTCGTGACCTCAAACTAAGAAATGTAGTGGTTCTTGAGGTCTAAGTAAGAAATAGATTGGTTCGTGACCTCAAACTAAGAAATGTAGTGGTTCTTAAGCTCTAAGTAAGAAATAGATTGGTTCGTGATCTCAAACTAAGAAATGTAGTTGTTCCTGATTTCTAGGTAAGAAATAGATTGGTTCGTGACCTCAAACTAAGAAATGTAGTAGTTCTTGAGCTCTAAGTAAGAATTAGATTGGTTCGTGATCTCAAACTAAGAAATGTAGTTGTTCCTGATCTCTAAGTAAGAATTAGATTGGTTCGTGACCTCAAACTAAAAAATGTAGTGGTTCTTGAGCTCTAAGTAAGAATTAGATTGGTTCGTGATCTCAAACTAAGAAATGTAGTAGTTCCTGAGCTCTAAGTACAAATGTAACAAAATCTAGTGGTTCCTGCACTTTAGTGAATTTATGTTTCCTAACGAACTCTAGTGGTTTCTAACCTCTAAGTAAACTAGTGGTTACTGACCTCTAAATACTCTCGTGGTTTCTGAAGACATCTATTGATGTCATGAAATTATATCAACCAGTGGGTTCTGACAAATAAAATATACAAGAATACCAAGATTGAATTTGGTAAATATATTATATAGGAAATGAATATGCAGTTGTATTTCAGATATAACATGCTGTAGGACTTCATAAAAAAGGTAGTGATATAGTGACAGGTTGTCGGAATACTCAGGACATGGTTAGACATATAGTGATAGAGTCACAGGTTGTCGGAATACTCATGACATAGTTAGACAGACAGTGATACAGTCACAGGTTGTCGGAATACGGAATACTCAGGACAGGGTTAGACAGGTAGTGATACAGTCACAGGTTGTCGGAATACTCAGGACAGGGTTAGACAGGTAGTGATACAGTCACAGGTTGTCGGAATACTCCGGACATAGTTAGACAGACAGTAATACAGTCACAGGTTTGCGGATAACTCAGGACAAGGTTAGACATATAGTGATACAGTCACAGGTTGTCGGAATACTCAGGACAGGGTAAGACAGGTAGTGATAGAGTCACAGGTTGTCGGAATACTTAGGACAGTGTTAGATAGGTAGGGGTATAGTCACAGAATGTCTATACCATTCAGGATTTACTCAGGACAGGATTAGACAGGTAATGATATAGTCACAGAATGACAGAAGACTCAGGACACATCCCTCTCCTATTTTCACTTTTATTTGTATATATTGTTTTCATTTCACCTGACATCTTTGAAACATAATTAGGCAAAGAGTTTCCTTGATGACTTTTTATCCATCACGCCATGCGTGTCTGAAGCAATACACATGCATGTACTGTTCATTAAACATGTGCTGTACATTAAACATGTACTGTACATTAAACATGTACTCTACATTAAACATGTACTGTACATAAAACATGTGCTGTACATTAAACATGTACTGTACATAAAACATGAACTGTACATTAAACATGTACTGTACATTAAACATGTACTGTACATTTAACATGTACTGTACATTTAACATTTACTGTACATTAAACATGTACTGTACATTAAACATGTACTGTACATAAAACATGTACTGTAAATTACACATGTTCTGTACATTAAACATGTACTGTACATTTAACATGTACTGTACATTAAACGTGTACTGTACATTACACATGTACTGTACATTACACCTCTACTGTACATTACACATGTACTGTACATTAAACATGTACTCTACATTACACCTGTACTGTACATTAAACATGTACTGTACATTAAACATGTACTGTACATTTAACATGTTCTGTACATTAAACGTGTACTGAACATTACACATGTACTGTACATTACACCTGTACTGTACATTACACATGTACTGTACATTACACATGTACTGTATATTACACATGTACTGTACATTACACATGTACGGTACATTAAACATGTACTGTACATTAAACATGTACTGTACATTACACCTGTACTGTACATTACACCTGTACTGTACATTACACCTGTACTGTACATTGCACATGTACTGTACATTAAACATGTACTGTACATTACACATGTACTGTACATTAAACATGTACTGTACATTACACCTGTACTGTACATTACACCTGTACTTTACATTACACCTGTACTGTACATTACACCTTTACTGTACATTACACATGTACTGTACATTAAGCATGTAATGTACATTAAACATGTACTGTACATTAAACAGGTACTGTATATTAAACGTGTACTGTACATTAAACATGTACTGTACATTACACTTGTACCACACTGGTTGGCGGAATAATCAGGACAGGATTAGACAGACAGTGATATAGTCACTGGTTATCGGATACCTCAGGACAGGGTTAGACAGACATTGATATAGTCACAGGTTGTCGGAGTACTCAGGACAAGGTTAGACAGACAGTGATATAGTCACTGGTTATCGGATACCTCAGGACAGGGTTAGACAGACATTGATATAGTCACTGGTTGTCGGAATACTCAGGACAGGGTTAGACAGACAGTGCTATAGTCACAGGTTGTCGGAATACTTAGGACAAGGTTAGATAGGTAGGGGTATAGTCACAGAATGTCTATACCATTCAGGATTTACTCAGGACAGGATTAGACAGGTAATGATATAGTCACAGAATGACAGAAGACTCAGGACACATCCCTCTCCTATTTTCACTTTTATTTGTATATATTGTTTTCATTTCACCTGACATCTTTGAAACATAATTAGGCAAAGAGTTTCCTTGATGACTTTTTATCCATCACGCCATGCGAGTCTGAAGCAATACACATGCATGTACTGTACATTAAACCGTACTGCACATTACACATGCACTGTACATTAAACATGCGCTGTAATTGATTAATTTGCATTTGTAAGATGATCATATGAAACTAATGACGAGTCATCCATCACTTACACAGATTAACATAAACGTTCATTAAAAAGCTGACTTAATCAGTATCATACACAAAGGATGAAATTCAATTTACAAAATAACAAAGCGACAATTCATTGCATCGTAATAAAACAAAGTTCACTGGGGATTACTTGCTGCACAAAGATGAGGACTCGCAAAATAAACAGAATTAACCTTAAATGTCAATCAAATTGCTTGTGTCTATAAAGTATCATAATGTCACAAAAAGCTAACAAAACATATTGACAAGAAAGTAATGGCATACTTAACAAAGCTGCTATACTTTATTATAGGGTCTACTGTACGTGCGATGGACTAGCCATATGAACAGATAACCTTACACAGAACGCTGACACTACAAACACCGTCTGGTCTTGATGCTTAAGGTTATTAAAGTAAAGCTTGACTTTGTTCAAACATATGGACGATAACATTTAATCACATAAATAACGGTACAAATTACCATAAGGTTGAGTATTCTTACCTTGTCCCGAGTCGTCCTGCTAATCCCTGTACTCTACATGCCTTACTGGCTCATTATGTATTCCGTAAACGACATACTGATTAGCTATTCTTTTATCCGCAATGTATACCAATGTGAGCATGCTGTATTAGTGATTAACTACATTAACAGAAGCTGTTAATTGCCTCGGGCTATGCTACCACATACGTCTCGTGTAAAACGCAGCACAATGGGAGCTCGAGCAATGGTCATTTACCGACAAATATAAGTGACACATATGTCATCGCCTATCATGTGCGTTGTGCTCAAGTGACAGTGGAGTTGTCATCCTCAGGCACAATTTATCTACGGCTAGTTTTATTATATGAATACGAAAATATGAAAGCATTGTAAAAAGACAAAATTGTTATGCATAGTAAAACTTTCGTGTGTTAATTTACATTGGATACTGTCTTCTGTCAATGTGAAGCATACTGTTAATGTATTTGTCAGCGTGGTTCACTTGTTTGAAACATTTTTAAATACGAGTAATAATTAAAATTGTAGAAGGGTTATTTTTATCGCATTATATTTTGTACAAGAAGAAAAATATTTTCCTGTGTTTGAAACGGTATTAGTTTGTTGATATTCAGGAATGTCTCTTCACTCCAGAAAAGTGCAAGCATATATTGTGAAATTTAATCAAAATGTCTCGCTTGTATCTGTCTTTCACTTTTGACATTATTTTGGGAGGACATAAACACGTATCCATAAACATCACGAACGAGATTGTAATTTTGACGCCGCGCGTCTAGACATGCAAAGCACAATCTGACATTGTCAGTTTTAATGAAATATACATTTATTTCGTATAATATCACATTTCTAACACTCTTCAACAACACCGAATACACCAGTTCCCGGGAAACAGGTTTTTCAGGATTAACATTATTTTATGAAGTTTTGAAAAGATTCCAAGATTAACACAATTGTTTCTATAACAAATAATCTGTAGAAACCTACATAGCGTTTTTCAGGTGGTGGACACAATACCATTGTTCTTTGGCATTGTCACGGTTAAAACACAGGTCATATTCAGCAGTTTTTTGAATACTTATTATTATTAAGTAACAAATACATGCAAATAGATTCAGCATTGCATGTCTGAGATGTCGTCCATTATTTGAAATAATTCAAAAATCTTTTTATTTTACCAGCAAGTGTAGATTATTAACATGCCTTGTAAAGATGTTACCGCAAGTATGTGTAATTGTATTATCTACTAACTCTTTTCATTGTGTTATTACATTAAGCACCGTGAATATCTATTGTTAAACTACTCGTGGTATTATTCATGTGAATATTATTCAATTATAGTCTTTGGCTGAGGTCGATACCTGGATTTATCAACCCGAGAAAAGATATATTGACCGAGGACGCAGTCCGAGGTTAATATATTTTTTCTGGGGTCGATAAATCCAGGTATTAACCGAAGTTAAAGGCTATAATTGTTTTTTTTATTTTACAAAACAGTAATGTAAGCAATCTGAAAAAAAAACACAACAAAAAGCTTCGGAAGTGGGACGGTGCATTGTTTGGAGACACGTCATAATTCTAATTTTAGAACCACCCAGTCCTTCAACAAAAATCACGCGCTCCAAGTCAATATCAGTTTTTATCGGTGGACACGTGTTGCACTCCTGGCCAATCACTTGTCGGGAATAATATGAATATATACTATTATCACTTTTCGTGGTGTCATATATATAAATAGATTGTTCTGTGAATATATACTATTATCACTTTTCGTGGTGTCATATATATAAATAGATTGTTCTGTGAATAAATACTATTATCACTGTTCGTGGTGTCATATATATATATTGTTACGTGAATATATACTATTAACACTTTTATTAGTGTCATATATATGTAGTGTTCTGTGAATATATCAATTTCTCGTGGCCTTGTCACCGCCTGGTCGAGGACCCGTCATATAATGTTTCTGAAATGGTGGCAGGAACATAAACATTAACCTAATTTTATGCATTTTACATGAGATCTACACACGATAGGGGGATGCGATACTCCAACAACAAGCTTAGATACACCTATTGGACGACAGAATCTTAGATTCATGCAAATGCACACATCGACAATGATATTTTCTCATTTCAAAACAGCATTGCTATTAAAGGCCTAAACAAGATCGGTGCAGTATATACATTTGTATTGACAATGATATCGTCACCTGTGACCTATATTATGACACGCTCACCTCCGTGACACAAAGGTGACATTTTTATGTCAGATATATTATTAAATCGGTTGTTTGTCTTGTCATTGACTAGGTTGCCTCTTTGGTAGATGTCATTCTGACAAATAAACCAGACAATCGTTCTATAAGTTTCACCTGTAGGTTTGGTATGATCGTCACGTGTGATTTGGTACGTGTTTAATAAAGGCTTACACAAGTAGGTTCAACAATACAATAGGTGGGCACAGGATTTTAAGATTTTTTAGATACTTAGTAAAAAGACGGTAGGCTAGATCTCTTTTCATGCAGCTCGTGTATACAGGACTACAATGGTATCAACTGTACTAACGGATATCTTCTCAGTGACATGGTGATGTTTCATTGAAGGAACGGAAATATAATTTCGGTGTCCTTCATACATAATTAGTGATCTGAGGAGGGCAATTTATAGAAACGCAAATGAAATAGAGCCAGAACCTGTGAAACTTGTATAATTCCTGAAAACAACGTAGGCTTGTACTGGGATTGTAAAACTGCCCACTAAAATGGATTTCGCCATATAGCAGGTTGGAGGGAAATTGCCTAATCACCTGTGTGCCTATGCTTCATAGGCGCCTTTTAATAATAGCTAATACGTTATGTACATCTTTCACCTACAAAATTTAAGAAATTATTTGTCATTGCATTTTTTTTCTTTATAACTCCATTTTGCATATTTTTCCTCATTAAATATTATTTGTTGTATGTAAAACAAAACACAATATTTTAAGACGGATATATATTTTAATTAAGCCAACAAACATTATAATCATGATGCTATTATTTCTTTAAAACATTACAAACTTCTACAAAAATATGGTAATGTCATTCTGAATTGTTTTAAGGATGTACGCCTCTGAGAAGTCAAAAAAATCCTGTATTAAACTTTTGCCTTATATGGATTTTTGAAAAAAGGAAATAATGGCAAAGTAAAAAATGCAAAAATAATTATATGGCCATGTGTTCGTTTTTGTGCTATGATCGGTCAAAGATACCAATTTAACACAATATGTGATTTTAGATAAATTTTCGGGTTTTGACCATTTGCAGAACAAGTTCATACAATTTCTTCCAAGTGTGTTAACGTATCAGATATGTATGAATGTTTGTAGAATTGATAAAAATATTATTTTCTTTTAAATTATGGAAGTAAAATTTCTTACTTATCACTTTTTCTCAGAAATGCGATTTTAGTTACCCCTACCCCTTATTTTTTAATGAAAAAATGTATTTTTTTCACATTTCTTTGCAGATTAAACGCTTGATATAAAAAAAAATCCTATATTAAACTTTTTTTAGAAATCAATGAATCAAGAGAAAATGTGTTTCTCTTTCTAAAACAGCCACAAAAATTGGGGGTCGGTGTGCTTCTTTTTTTGTCACATTATTAGTTGTGTTATTTTTCACCTTTTTCGGGTTCAAAAATCAAAAGTGCTTCAGTTACCTTTATATGTAAAAAAAATACCAATAATATATAACTTTCCACTTTGTTGCATATTATTTTAATCATATTGAACATTATAAATTGTACAGCAAAATTAAACCTACTACAAATAAAGTTTGTGACACAATGACAATTTAAGTGATCAATCTAGTGTCAAAACAGGTGATATTTTTGGCCATTTGTGAAGCGCAAGAAATTCACATAAATACACTTTTTCAAAATGGCCGCCAAATTGGTCATTTGTTTCAAATTCTTGTAAAAAATGTTCTACATACAACAGACATCTAGTTTTTTGACATGTTTTTCAGATGTGTGTTTGCTATTAAACCTATCATAATTTGTTAAATATTACAAAAACCCGTTACACCAGATCAAAAAGAGACTTGAACGTGACTGAAACCTCAGAAGAGTACATCCTTAAATTATAGCTTCTCAAATTCTCAAAACTGATTATTATTGCGTCATTTTACTGTAATAGAACTGATTAAATGGCGAAGTTTATGTTATCTGGAAAAATAATTTCACTTATTGCAGCCACTTACGCAGCAGCTTATCCCAGTATCGTCATTTAAATCCAAATAGAGGAAAATTACAAAAAAGTCTATCTAATAAAGCAAATTTTCATTTAATTTATCTATCAAATAAATTTCATTCTGTATAATCAAATATAATTTTACCATTTGGCGCGAGCAAGGCCAGTGTTAATTAGTATGCAAGTCACCAAGTGGGCATATAATCCGCATAGGTGTATGTATGTCACACACAGAAGCTACAATAGGGTTGTATACTAGGTAGTGCAAAGCACGGATAAACTTACATACGAGTTAAATACATATGGCATTTAACAGGAAAAACAAATTTAGGTTTCTAATGATTACATTTGTACGTAAAACATTTGGGTCAAAGGAAAGGTGGGATTCAGTGGTGAAACCTTTTTCGCAGTATCCTTAGGTGGTCGCTTAACAACAAAACTGCGCGCCATTTGGAGTAGGATACGTAATGCAATTTTAAATATTTCTGCTATTATTCGGTAAGAATGTTTTAAACATCATATCTATAATTGTTTTAGTTCAGTGAATCATCAGTTGCTTCAGCAAAGATACACGAAAACAACCGTGTATTTGTAGTCACTTCACCTAAGGCTGAATTTAGCATTCTGATTAGTCAAAATCAAAATTATATTTGCACATATGATATAACCTAATTTATATCTCTGCTGAATTAAAGTTTTTAATGATTTTTTTATTAACAAATTGACATATAGCTCACACAGCACCTATAATAGGATGTTACACAAACTGCAAACTGTGACTCGTATTGAGATGTTTATAATACAGATTAGATGATACATTTGCCCTATATGTTTATCAGTTGGAGCACAATAACGTGGAGGTCCATAACTTGTTTCTTAACTTGATGTTTATATTTTTTAGAAATAGAAGGTCATTATTCAGTTTAAGGTGTCACTACAACTATAACGTTTTAATATTGCTTTCTAAATACAGTATTTATTTACTCTGGCGATTTTTGGTTTTTACATTACATTGCATTGTAATAACAACTAAAGACTTCTTCGCGGTCAATATTGCATATTCTAATGTAAATAACCACATGTTCACCTTAACCAAAGTCCACAATTGATACAGTTTGTATACAGTTACATCCTATATATATATAGGATCTTACATGAGTTTCCATTTCATATGAAATTTATGAAATGAGTCTAAGAATGTTTTTAATTTAGCTAGCCTCTGGCGAGCTTAAATAAAGAATTCGTGAAGAGTTTCATAAATTTCCTATGAAATGAAAACGAGCGTAAAATCCTTTTTATCTCATAATCAAGATTTGTGGCATTCATTGTGTAAAGCGACCATTTTCATGCAACCTCGTAATGTAAAAATGAAAAAGAAAACGCCATTTTGACTCCAAAGCGTAAGTCTGTGACGACATGTACTTGTCCTAGGCGAAACGTCACAATTGAAACAATTGAAACGTCAAACCAATCACTGGGCTGATAGGTCTTATTACATGGGTTAATACGCAAAAAAATATGGCATGGGTATATTCACTGGATAACACAGTACATTATATGATAAAAAAAATGTATACAATGTACTACACAGAATTTCTCTATCAGCCAGAACTCCGTTTTTGGAAGAACTCAGCTTTTGTTATCAGTTAATCAAACCAACAAATGACAACGAGCGGTCATCATTTCGTCTTTGACAAGATTGTGTTACAGATGTAGCTAATAATTTTGGTTTAAGTTTTCGGAGAGCAAATGGAATATCAAGACGGAGAATATTGACGATCAATCATTTACAACAAAATATAAACAAAACAAAACATGAATTGTATCGATATGTTTTAAAAGAAAAAACACACACACAAAAAAAAGCAAAACCATCAGTAATTGATATATAAGTTAGAGATACGTTTCTGAAATAATTTTTACATCATTTATACAGTTTTGTATCTACAACTGTATGTACATATAAACGAACCTACAGAAAGTTTAGAGATATATTCCCGCTCATTGTCGGCGATATGTCAGATATTTATATAACAAGGGTGAGTTTATTCCTATGTATCGATTTTAAAATAATGGAAGCTATGATTGTTACATCAATACCAATATTGGAAGAACTTTTGAACATTATCAGTTAGAATAATGAAATAGTGAATACTATTCTAGATGTTTGCTTACTGTAAACGTGGAAGCATAGATTACATGATGTACACCTGTATTCCGTCTTTGCGTATTGCAGAGTTATCTTCTCTTGGGAGAAGGGATTGATTGTTACGTCACTTGTTTGTGAGAATAACGTCATCAATTTTTGAGAAAACGACGTCATTTTCTCACACATACCAATGATGTAACAATCAATACCTGCTCCCAAGAGAAGATAACTCTGCAATACGCAAAAACGGAATAGCGTAGAGTTTATTGTGATTTTGAATTGTATCAATAACATATGAAGTGGCCTCAAAACGTCATTGTGATACATTTGTATACTTATTTCCATGCATTACGACTAGCAATGCGTATCAAAAATGTTTCAAAATACCGGCAACTAGCGGGGAACCATCTTTGGTATAACTACCATATGCAACAATAGTTTTTTTAATGGTAGATATATGAAGTTTAAGTGAACAAAGCTCATAATGCAGAATGTGAATATAAATTTAAATGATCAAAGTACTTTAATGTATCTGTACATATTTCAGTGATAAAAGTGACAAATTAATGGTATAACAGGTAATATATAAATGATATAATAAGTGATATGATATTTGGATCAGGTACTTGTACTATATTAATAAGCATTAGTTTTTAAATACTTATATACTCTAGTTATAGAGCCAGTTTTCAGTTCATGCAAAATAAAGTTATATATTTCACACAGTAATAAAACAGGAGGATGTATTACCGTAGTAGAAGCTGAAACTATTTTAGAGTTCTGTTTTCACGTTCTTCAGAAGTTACATCATTATTCCGTCCTTGACGTCCGTTTGTGCTGCCACTGTTGTTTGATTGAAGCTTACTAGAAACAATTTGAACATCAGCGATGAGAAATATTTTGGTGGAAAAAATGAACTGTCCATATAAAGAAGGATTACCATTATGTAAGAAAAACCATACCTCACATCTGACGTTTCAGATTACATTGCGTGTATGGATATATTTCACGAGGGCTTTATAACTCGTCTTCTGGCTCCTGTTATAATAAAACTAAACTGATTTCCATCAAACGTAAAAGACGTATGTACGTATCTGTTGCTCGTTTTCCAGTCCAGTTCAAATAATCGGAGCATCTTCACCGCATTCGATGGAGAGGCATCCTTTCAAAGACAATAAAATAAAACAGCTAAACAATCACAAAGGAAATCAAATGGAGGCAGCAACTCAGCGATATAATTAACGATTTATTTAAATTCATACCAAGATTCATACCAATGCCTAATTAGCTTTTTAAAGACAACGAAACTTGATTTAAGTATTGTTTAGAGCATTCCAACTAATGGCGAAGCAGCCTGTCATCGAAACAAAAACCATGATTATAGTAATATCATGGAGCATGCCAAAACAAGCAGGGTAGCTTTTCAACGGCCAAAGAAAGAACCCCAAAAAAGCATTCGTATCACATTCAAATAAATGGAGCGGCAACGCTTCAAAATACAATAAAAACGAATAAGACACATAAATCGTTCCGATTCTAAAGGGAAAGCCGCCAAACGCCGATGTAAACAAATTTGATAATAAACGCCATTTAATGGAGTGACAGCATTTCGAGAATAACGAGAATAGCGTAACAATTAAACAATTCTACACTATATTCAAATCAAAAGAGAGGCAACCTTTCAAAAAAAAAAAAAAAAAAAAAACATGTGTTCGATTTATTGAAACGTTATCCCAATATATCAATTTATCGTAGTGGATGGGATAAATAAACAAAATAAAAAACAATAGTAGTGCCGATTTGAAACCTTCAGTATACATTGGATTTCAAGAAAAGTAAGATGGGAATGTTCTTATAATTGTCAGATGGACACTTGATAAGACACTGACACTTACAGGAATTCGTCCGGGTCTGGTAACAGATGCTGGAGCTGTGATACATACCTAATAGCGAATCATAAACAAGATGAGGAGAGATAAAGGGATACTCACGCCTATGTTCAAACAGACGGTGTTTTGAGGCTCCAGATGCCGTGATCCTCACTTCCTTGTCTGGTTCCAGTAGCTGTACCAGCAGATGAGTAGCCAATGGGCTTGGATCCTTTAAAGACAAATGGTGATATTAATAGTGTATGCTATCGCCATAATATAGTAATTATAGTACGTTATAATACGTTAGAACTGATTTCCTAGTATACGGATTCAATTGAAAATATATGTATAGATGGTTTTACAGACAAATACAAATCGGCGTGGTTATACTTTGATAGTTGAACGTAGCACACACACACATGTGATTACACCCTCAGAATTGTATTTGATTCAGTATGCAAATAAACTACACCGCACCATACAGCAATGTCCCTCCTTCTAGGACCCTCAGGGATGCTAGGGGTCAAAAGGCGGAAATCCAAATTGGTTAACATTACCGTTTGAGGAATGGGAAGGTGCATAAAACTCCTGAACTAAGACAACAACAGGGTACCAAAACAAAATGAAATATTCGACAACCCCATAACAAACCCAAGATAAAAAAAAACAGGTGTTACAAAATAAAAGGATTTCCTCCACCACATGTGAAACCCGGTATGATTTGTCCCCTCAACACATGTGGATCTCGTTATGATTTGTCCTATCACTATATTTGTTACCCGTTATCATGTGTCCCCTCACCACATGTGGATCTCGTTATGATTTGTCCTATCACTATATTTGTTACCCGTTATCATTTGTCCCCTCACCACATGTGGATCTCGTTATGATTTATCCTATCTACATATGTGGAACCTGATATGAGTTGTCCAGTCACCACATGTGGAATCCGTTATAATGTGTTCTGCCTTATGTGAATGTTTAGAATTTAATGGGGAAATGGGGGATGGGGTCAATAGTTTTTTTAAACTTCCGAGTTACCTTACATGTACTGCATAATTAGAAGATTTGTGATTCAAGAGAAGTATGTCTGTAAATCTGAAAAACCGGAACTATTGCTCGACCTCCGTCTGATTTTAGTTTTAGTTTAGTCTATTTGAGGTAAGTCTTTACTCGATTATGTATTTGCATCCCCTTCTTTGCATCTTGATGTAGTAGAGTTGTCTAAAGCATTATTTCCCTCGTTGTTTGGCCAAAATAATGCTGTAGAGAGGTTATAATGGTGATTGATTACGGTGAGTACCCAACACGGGGTTGAAATCACGATGTCTAGAACAAATACATTTTTATTTTATTGTAGTAAATATTCAGATATTTTAACTTCGATAGTGTAAGGTTCTGAGTTGTAGACATCTTTTTTATAGATAAATCAGTTTGGGCTGTAGTTTGGCCTTGATAGTATGCCTCTCCCGCTACTTTCCCATATTCCTTTGAGGAAGTTCAATAAGGCTACGCCCATGTGTTTAGACGAGAGTTGATTCAATACAACAATGTTTGGTTGTATTATCAATCTTTGCAAAAATTATAAAAAGAATAACTATAGTTGTGATTCTTTAATTATAAATAAAGTCTGCAGATTATGACACGAATATGTTCAATTTCAGTGCTATATCAAATTTCGAAAATATTAATGACTGTTGTGAAACTGATTTATGAATAACAAGTATTAAAATACTTGATGTTTGATATTACTGTGAACAGCTTTTGATGTAGTTAACAGGTATAGCGCATAACACAGTAGTTATGTGGCTAGCTAGTCATTCGCAATAGTTGTGTACAATTGTTAAGTTGGTTCAGTGATTGCTAGTGAATTGTGCAATTATGAGGCAATGATTGTGTAATTAGTGTGCAATTGATAGGTAATCATTCACTATTGATAGAGTACTAGTCTATCAATGTTTCTAGTCATTATTTTGAATTCATAGTTAGACATGTGTAGTTTACATATACTGTCCAAGGGAGATTACCCTTCAAGAAACATACAATGTGTAATGAATACCCATATGATTTGTCCTGTCAACACGTTTGGCACCTGTTATGATTGTTCCGTAATATTTGCAACACTTTGTCGTTAACAATTAACAACGTTTCCTGATGTAATTCTTAACGCGACGGGAGTTAATTAGTTACACTATGGAAACACATGTCAATCATTTCGAGTTTATTGTCGAACTGAAATGACGTTAGTATGTCTTCTTTAGTCGATATAATGTAAACTTAACAGATGGAAGACTTACATGCCAGCTTTGCAACAATGAAGTACTCCAAATATGTGACACAGTAGGCGTAAACACACGAAATAGTTGGTAGCAGCCATCGTTTATTTATAGATTCAAATCACAGTCACATTTCAAGTACATGTACAGGTGGTAACAACATCTCATCTATCTTCAGTTCGTGTTGTGTCTCAAATCTTTCAGTCAATGTCTCAAATCTTTAAGCTAAGTAAGGAAAGCTGTATCAAAGACATATTCCCTCGGGCTAAGACCGTACCCTCACTCGTACCGTATTGTATTGTATCGTTTATTAGCTTTAAGCCTTGCGGCTCATAGGCATATTGTTACAACATTTATACAGACATTTATTTAAAATAAGGTATCTTACCATTTCGGTAACTTGACCGTATTGTAAGGCTTAATTACAAATGGACAACACATAGAAAAGCACATTCTATAATCACCTGTGGTACACCGAGAGAAGGATAGTCTATATCCTGTACGTTAGTAGACGAACCTATTCTACACGTTCATAAACTTTAAATAAGTTAATAATTGTACAATATACTAATTTTGAAATATTGACCGTACAAGTAGACTTAATTGCAGGTATTTACCGAGATTGAATAGTTCTTTTCTATTATGTATTGCAAGCAACTGCACCAGTTTAAATGAAGACGGTCTGTTTCAGTAATATTTTTTTAGTATTTCATACGTAAATCTGCATAAACCGGACATGTTACAACATAATGAAATTCGTCCTCTACTGAGTGTTGATCACAATAATTACAAATTATATTAACCCTTGGGGTATTAGAATATCTGCCTGCTTCACTGCATAACTGATGCGACGACAGTCGAAATTTAGAAATTAATGTAAGGTAGACTCTGTCAAATAATGCTGGAGCGTAAAACTATCTATCAAAAACCTGTACAAAAAACATTTTGATGAATTTTCGACAAATTCGTTCCGCTTTGGAATGAAATTATCTGTTAAACGCTGCTCAAAACATTGTAAAAACACTTTTTCCTTTACTACATACTAATTTATTACCGTACTGCTTCGTATTTATCCCCAATGTCCACGTAATCCCATGTTCCAATTTAGCTTAGGTGTGCATCTCTGTTCTGGTCAACACCAAACATATCAGTCAATTTGTAGCGATCTTTGTTTGTGCAGATGCAGGCATTTGTGTTTCTGTTATCCAAAATTCACTTAACCACATACACCAGTATTAACTGAGGGATATATTTCTGTTCATTATATCGGGAACCCTTTATTTTGAGGAGTCACTGTCCGTTAGTTGATTAGTCAGGCCCTAATTAACGGTAAATTAAAAGATAATAATTCTCCCACCAAAACAACACATTCGCTATACTTTCCCGCTAGTAAGTCATGGTGGTCACTGTCCATCCAGTGATGGCCCCATAGTCAGACCCAACTACTTATATTTCAATTCCTACTCAAGTTGGACTCAATTCAACTAACCAAATGTAACCTGTTTCATTTGCCGATGAATTTGACCAGATTAACCATGCCTGTGTATTTGTACTGCCAACTCAATTCATCACCCCATGAAATCGACCAAAGCAGGATTCAACCCTTAAATAAGTATTTCATACAGCATATCCTACAAGCCTACGGTACCATACTATGGTACCGTACAAGCCCCTAACATTTATCAGCATATTTTATTTAAGTCTGGAAAGGTCTACTTTGTTACAAGTAACAAAACGTTTGTTTTCTTATACAAAAACTTTTACCTCCGGTTTGAAATATAGCAAAAGATTCGGTATAGAAGTCGGACATAAGTTGTGTTTGTTTTAACTTATTAAATTAGGCATCTCTAAATGTATGGATGCACATTTACGTTACTGCTCTTTTTGCACTCTGACATGATTCCCATTGTTTAAGCATCTTACCTGGAGTCTTGACAGTATCCTTTGTAGTAGTTGACCGAGGCTTAACATATCTGTGGCTTTGTCCTCCTTCCCAGCCCGCGTTAATGGATCAGCTCCTGCTTGAAGGCATTTGTACAATGTTAACTTCAAAAAGTAACATGTTCACTAATTTTATAATGTTTATAAACAAATATTTTAATTCTTACTCAAGTTGTACTCAATGCAATTACCAAATGTTACCTGTTTCATTTGCCGATAAATTTGACCAGATTAATATTGCCTGTGCGTATATTTTTGCGAAGGGAGATAACTGTTGACATGTTTGAACAAAGAAGATACCATGCACTTGATGAGATTTTACACAAGAAATTGTACAATCAACCAAAATACAACCAATCAGCAAAATATTATCAGCTCATGGTTGCTAGTGGTAGCGACAAGTCATGTATTGGCCTAGAAATTCTTTCTCAAGCTATCCATTCTGCCTCTTGCGTCAGTAGGCCTATGAACGCCCAGTGCAAATCGAAAACAACGTAGATCCACGTGGACACGTCTTATATGAAATGCCGTCGAACAGCCAACTGTCATATCCTGTCTAACTCGACATTCAGTTAGTGCAGCTTCACATTTCAGAAGATGTAGAACCTTAAAATATAGCGGCTTAAAATATGGTTTCGTGTTTTGTTTCTAAATCATTTGGCTGTATTTAACTATCAACGTACACCATCATGCTGTATGTTGGTCCTTAAATGACGTTCTATACCTTTTTACATTACGTCAATACGTAGACTTGCACAAGCTCCAAATCCTAGGACAAACTATCAGAATGGAATTTCCAAACACCATTATTGAAAAAACACATGTTGATTGAAATATAAGGTTTGAATCTTGCTTGGGTCGTTTTCATGGGGTAATGAATTGAGTTGGTCTTGAAACGAATTCACAGTTCATCACCCCATGAAATCGACCAAAGCAAGATTCAATCCTTAATTGATGTACACATGTATTCTAATGATAATGCACATCATTTATTTATTGGATGCATTGGTGGTGAAAACAATCATGCTGCAATGTCTGTAAATGTTGGTACATCATGAGATTTAATACCGTAACAAATACGACATAATTATCTCTGTAAAATGTATTGCAGAGGTGGATTCTTTTTCTTCTTTTTTTCTTCTTCTTATTAACGTCCTATAAACATCTATGGACATTTAAGGACGTGCCAGGTTTTGATGGTGGAGGCAAACCGGAGTACCGGAGAAAACCACCAAATAGCGGCAAGTGCCTTGCGACTGCCCCACGTAGGCATCTGTCGATCGACCCAGCGTAGGAGGGCTAGGGACCGTAGACAGTCAGACACCTTAGCCAACCGGCCACCGGCGCGCGCCCTCCGTCTGTCAAAACTGCAGACGAATAGGAAATGTAAAATGATACGAAATTCCTATTGAATCGTCTTACCACGTAAAGGCTGATTGGTCGATTTCTTGTTGGTGTGTTCTGTCGTTCTCACTGATCTCCACGGGAAGAGATGAATACCGGTACTGCCTAGTTCTGCGTCCAACAGAACCATGCGATCTGCAGTGAAAAACAGCTATCAATACATGTTTTGTACGTCTTTGAAGCGCTTAAAATAACTGTTTGTTTGAGAAATAATTCCTTCTATCTTATAGCAATTGCATACAAATTGTAAGACGGATAAAACGATTAATATTTCTTCTGAAATGGTTACGCATTTTATGAATGAAAATGATACAGAACATTAAAGATAATCATTTCGGTATGGTGAATACATCCTCTTCATGCACCATACCATTTATTACTCCCAAAGTCACTCCGTTCGCATGAAGCTTCTCTATCCCTCGGACCAACTGTTCCAGGAACCGCAGCAGACCTTTCCTATTACATAAGTGCCTCCCAGCTTCCACCACGGTCGACAACACCTCATGTCCTGTTTACAAAGCAGATCACACTTTACAACTCGTGAAATCAAAATGTGTCTGCATAAGTGTACAGTAAAAACATATAATTATATTTGCAATAATTGGACATTTGTGTCTAGTAATGAATCGTCAAAAGTGACCAGTGGTTGATGTAGGTCATAGTATTAGTCGTAATAAGTATCTGACATTATAGAAATAATAACTATATAATTACACCAAAATCAAGCTGAACTCGACAATATATTGCAAAATCAAGTATTTAGATGTATTTGTTGTTATAACCGATATAGTTCCTTAACGAAACGTACCAAGAAATCTAAGAGATGATTATAAAACAAGTGCATATGTTACATTTCCTGTTAGAATATTTAATTGATGGTTGGATGGTCTAAGTTATTTCTTAGATAGATCGTTGTATAATAGTGTAATAAAGTGATTTAAATAGTATACATGCAAGAATTAAGTTTTCTTATTTGTTTCGTGTTGATGAGCATTATTTTTTGTCTTGTGAATAAGCATGTGAAACCAAAACAATGGCAAGCAAAAATCAGAAGAAAAGTGAAATTAAACAAAGAAAAATGCAATTGATAACCAACCACTTAACCATAAACAGAGTAGCTTACTTTGGAAAAGCATGCACTAAAGAAATGGGCATGCAGGACCTTAATATATAAAACTCGGAAGGAAACCACATAATGCTCACCAACATTATAATCACATTGTCATATTTACCATAAATTTCCTTTGTCCGCATTGTACAAAATAGTTGAATAAAATTGAATACAATATATACAATATCTGTATCATACATTTTTACTATCAACAAATTCAGTATGGTTACATCAAGCGAGCTTCAAATTAACTTTATAAACATCAAATTCGATAAACTATAAGAATGCATACGGTAAACATACATCGGCATGTGACTATTCTATCGTATATGATATTCTTATAATGCAAAGGCGAAGTATTCATTAATTATTGTTAACAGTCATACAGCGTACACAACTCTGTATTAGAATATTCTTAAGTTGGAATAAGGAAACACTTTTACTACCACAGGGTAACGTACTTTGGAACAACATGTACCAAAGAAATGGGCATGCTATATATTGATATATAGCATATTGGATGTTTACTGCATACTGGTATGACAAAGTGCAAAATACCCTTCATTCATTATATTTATAATTTAAGGATTGTCCCCGTTTTTAACAAACAGCACCTTCTAACAAAAATAAAAAATTCGTCCTTATTGAAAAAAGAAATAACTAAAATACGTTAAATGATTGCTATATTTCTATTCAAAACAATATAGAAATGTCCATTTACAGGTACCTACGATATTGATACCTTTGATCACCCACGATAGCTATGTTGAACATATTTCACTACAACTAAAACATCATAGAATATATCCCTACCAAAGATGTTAGTTAACACATGTGTGTGGTTTTACTTATTATCTAGCTTTTGCGCTGTCATCTACTGAAGATGGTGATAGTTAAGTTTAGTTTCGTTAAGTCGCCCATACTGTACTTGAATGGGTGTTACTTTTTCGATAGTAAAGCATTATGAAGGAAACGTTGACGGCCATATTTCCGATATCTATAACAAGCAGTATAAAACAGAGGGGGAAAACATTACCTTTTTTTCTGGTAGAAAATGTGATGCATTTATGCTTTTCCTATTGCAATGATGACTGCTGGATGAATAAAATAACAGGAAACAGTTTTGACAAACCGATATTGATAAATTTTAACAGATGTTGTCTGGTTCTTGTTATTCTATTACTAACAAGTCAACTTACCTGGTGTGAACGGGAACATCATCTTGACATAACCATCCTCTTCAATAACTCCTAGTAACTCGGGAACAATTTGCACCTTCCCATCACACTTAAGGTAGAACAGAAGTTCCTCATCTCGAAACCAATTTGAATTCCGCTACGTTAACAAAAACAGAAATAGAAAATATCAATGGATTTACTTATGTCTGTGAAATTATTTTAATCAAAGAATACATAATTGATTTGTCCTCAAAATATCATTGATTGTCATATTTTTTATCATATATGTCCTACATATGGATTGAATTTGGATTTTTCCAATGTTCATGCAAGTATGAACGGGAAAAAAATTACTTACACACCACACGAGCGGCCGTTTCCATAGTCATAGACTTTCCATAGTCAGATTTGTAGTTTTTGCTCTAATAAATTCGCCAAAATCAAATTCATTTCATCTTCCAAGCCGTCTTCATCACTGGACTGGCCTATTTTGGGCATTAAAACGGCGAAATACCAAACATTTTCGCATTAATGTCACCTGTCCGATTGAAATACAGCAGACGATACATGTGAGCGTGAGCGTCTCTGTTGTGAAAATGATACAAAATATTTCTCTCCTAAATTTGTTAATATTTCCAAATAATTAGATAAAATAATTAATATATTAGGATATTCTAAAAATAAACATGTAGCAATATTTTCGAGTTTGTTTTGTATGTAAGGGGAGACAACTCGTACTGTCACACAATGGGGGTTCGGGATTTAAAAGTTGTCTCATGGACAAAAACAGCCGTTCATTCTGATATTAACTGCTGTTTTTTTGTGTCACATGTGCAGCTTTTAAAAAATCACAGAACTTGTAACAAATCACAAAATCAGATTTAGAATTATATAGGTGTGAAGTCTTATATCAAAACATTAACGGTTATCTCTTTAACTAAAGAAATATTTGAAGTAATAAAATAAAGTAAGTTAAGGACTATCGATATCAGAATAAATGTTTTTGTTGAAAATATATAAAAATATATATATATATATAAAGGCACCTTTAAAACTGTTCATTGCATTCTGGAGTTCTTACCCGTCTAAAAGATGCATCAATGTCTAAAAACATTAACCTTTTTTTAATATCTTCATATTAAAGATTTGCACAGGGTGATTTCTGGGGGTTAGAATGGGAAGGGGTAATCTGTTTAACTATGTGTTTGATAAGGCAACAATACAAAACAGTTAATATTTTTTTATATATATTTTTTTTTATGTTCATTTGTTATCAAATATATCGATTTGGTACATATTCCTGTACCAATTACAGCCGAGGTCATGATGGAGCGTAGTGAATTCATCCGAGGTTTTCCGATTGACAAGCAGGTAGGTTTGAACATACCATCCAAACGCATGACAGTATCCCGATCAGTTTCTGTTTCAGTATTCATACAGCGTATGAACGGACGTTCTGTGTACATGAGAGTTTGGAGATAAAGTTGTTACCATTTCACTAAAATTTTCGATGTAAGATAATGGATGACAACTATATAAAAAACAAAAAAGTCTTTGAGATTTGTTTTACTTACTTCTATCATGAAAAATGTAAACACAGTGTGGTTGTCCCTTCCACGGCACACCATCATTCTCCCAAACTCATCTTCAGCGACGTCTTTCCACCTCTCATAATGTACGTCCCTTTGAAATCCTTCTTCCGTTGACATATTCTGTAAAATCTACAAAGATCAAACAATGAAATCAGATTGACCTCAATACACAACTTCACGCACCTGCTCTGATAAACAATGGTTTATTGTATCTTACTCCATAATCTTTGCACATATATTGCATTTTCTTATACAAATTACGGCGTTTGATCACTTTTTTATATTTCATAAAACAGCATTGTGTTAGGGTAATATCTAGTCTGAGTGGATATTGATGATATAATATAAGTTTATCGGTGATTAGTAAAGTGTTATCAGGTAACATTTCTCTCTTGCATCTCTGTTGAATTGCATTAATAGAAATGTGAATATGTATCTGTATTTCTTAATATTTTCTTTAAATACAAATTAAATTTGAATGTGTGTTAAAGTTTGAGCATAAATAAAAAAAACAAGCCCCCACTTTTTGGAGAACCCCTCCATAATCACGTTTATTACTCACCGGATGTCGCAGCACTCCCCTCATCCTAGCTGGTGTTCTTCGCTGACTAAGAAAATTTGATATATAATCTGAGCTGGTTCCATAAATCAGCTTTCCTTTTTGCATTTTGGTGGAACTGTGTAGGGACACCGTGTTTCCTGAAGGTTTTTCATTCCCTGTAAAGTGAATGTTTCCCCGTGACGTTTGAAATGAAGATAAATCAGAACACCCATATTCACGGTCACTTGACAGCGACGTTTCTACATGTTGGAACTTCCATTGGGGGGTTTCCTCTGCAGGATCGGGAGATTCAGATTCATCGCTTACATAGGCTACATCGGTACGATCAGGCAGACTGGGAAGAGGGACCACATTTACAGCTTCGCTGACTTGAATGTTGGGCCTCTGCTGATTGACATGCAGCATATCAGTATCCTTTCCATGAAATTCCATCATGTATACCGGCAGTACGGACGGGGCTGGAGATATTACTGACTCGTATAATGCGACAATTGACTCCTTCCGACTGCAAGGCATCAGTCCTTTTGTCATAGACAGACAATGATACGGTAGACCCGTCTGTTTTGGCAGAGGTTTCCGCTCAATCCACAGCATATTTGTCAGGATGCTGTGAAAGCACTTTAGTCCAAATAGAAGACAAGCAAACACAAAGACCATTGGTGACCCAGGTTCCGACTCGGCGGATGTTGCTATCTGCTTTATCACATTGACTTATTCCTCATTTTGCCAGGTCTTGCGTTTTTTATCCAAGACTTCAGTGTTGATAATGGTATATACTGATGTCGATATAGTCTTGTTAGACTGTTGTGGTTGCATCATTGCAACCAGTAAGTTCTTTAAAATAACTGCTGTCGGTGAAGAAGAATCCCCAAGGACACCTCCCGATTCGTCACTCCGGAATGAAAGGCTTCTATTCTCGAAGGACCATTTTCTAGGTTCTGTTCCTTGGAATTGATCCCCAGTCTTAATCCACTTTTCCCGATTGCAAGTATCCAGCCGTCGATCCTGTGCGCCGATTCCATCGGAATAAGTCGGTGCATTGTTTAAACGGTCCACTTGATCGACTAGGAGAGTTTCGTCCAATGAAACAGCTGGATATGATCCAAAACTTAGTGAAGGATGTATTAAAACATCTGGGTCAGCTTCAGGATCCCCACCTCTGTCTCTTTTACGGCAGTCAGTGTCTCTTTCTCCAGCATTATATCCGATTGAAACCCCGTCGTAAACATCGTGTTCGACGGAAGGATTTTGTAACGAACCACTGAAGTCAGATCCATTTTCTGGCGGTTCCCAGCTGTCTGCTGCATGCCTTTCCAGATTTACCGTTCCTTCATACCTCTCTTGCTCAAGGTATTTGACATTGTTGTCGAATTCCCATGTATCACTTACTCCTTCCATATTTGGAGTACTCTCTTCCATGTGGTCTTCACGTAATTACCTCAAAATGGAGTTTACCCGTTACAACAAAAACTATCTGTAATACAAAACCAATGGTACAATAAACATTAATGCCATAAAAGGTAGCAAACGAAAAGATATAAATAGTTATTACATCATTTTTATCATTTCAGTTAAAAAAGTTTCATCTATATCTGTCATTATACAAATATTTCGTTGCTTTAAAATACAAAGTGATAAAACATTAAACTAATATTTTGATATAATTTAGAGTACTTCATAGTGTTTCCTCCACGTGATACATTTACATAACAATGTTCTGTAACTGATCCCTCATAAAATAGGTCCCCCACGCGCTGGCAGTGTCCATCTTATGTATAGCGTATTGTTTAGTATCACCCATATTGAGATGATAAGGTGACTGTTTTGGTACAAATATTACAGCTTAATTGAAATGATCAATGCAATAAATCAAATTTATAATTGTGTAGTTTTTATGTGGCAATCATGATTATTCAAATATACGGATGCTGAAGAAATGAATTAGCACCCCATAGAAAAGTACACACCAGCAACTCAACATTCAACTTATCTCCTTTAGTTTTGGAGAAATTGTCATTAATTTAATACAAAAAAAAATGATTTCATATTTCCGCCATGTGTGTTAGATTTGATATTGCCATTTGTGAGGAAAATCTATGTCTTATAGCATGTCGTCAGTTCTTAAACGTTCAATATTGTTAGCTTATGATGATATGCATATTTTGTAGAGTTGATGTTGTCATGCTGTATCTATTAGCAAAGACTACCTGTGTATGTGTGTGGGAGTGTTAAAATCGTCACTCGTGACCTAAACACAGTTTCCTACATGGTTAAGATATAGCTTAACAGAGTAGGGGAAATTGCTGTTAGCCTATTGTCGGACATCAGAGCTTTTAGATTTAATATTTCGGTTCAGGCAAACATGCATTCGTATTGAAATAAAATGTACCTGCGCTTTTGAAATATATGACATGCAGGGATGACATGCTAGACTGGAAGGTAGCGACACAGGACACTATTCAGGACTTTTAGATCTAGCTGTTAGGTCTGAGTTTGTAGGTCTGAGTTTGTTGTTGCTATCATGCTACCTTGCTATCGGTTTTGTATCATGCTTATTAATGTTCCACTTGATGATTTCTCCGTCACGACCCCGGCTCTTACATGGAAAATGTGGCGTACGTCAAAGATGAACGCTCGCCGTTCCGACACATGGTCTTATTTTCCTTTCACTTTCTCAATCGTCTCCATGTAGAGATACTTGGCCTAATTTAATAGATGTTGACCTCATGTTAAAATTTATTTACGTATTGGTTACTGTTAGTTCCTCTCTCTAGTTTTTAGCTCGCTTTAATGACCTATTAGAACAGATTGATGTCCCTCCAAAGTAGGCGAAACATCCGCTTCGAATAGCGGTGTTTACCGCCTTCGTCAACCAAAGTAATTTGTATGTATCTGGTTTCTCCTGTGTAGAATGAAAAATGTCCCTATTTGTGTGTAGTGAGTGAAGTACAAAACAGTGCTTATTTCTCCGCTATTTTGTGATTAGTTATCTCGTTTGAAACGTTTACAATTAATTTAGTTGTTCACGCGCAACCCTATTAAATAAGAGTTTAAACATATTGTATTGCCAAAATAGTGACAACAGGATTGGGCACAAGTTATTACAACATTATTTACGCCCTTTCCTCAAATATATACATCAGATTTACAAACATGGCACAACGGGGTATCAAATAATATGTATAATAGTAGCATTACAACAACAGAAACAAAAGAGAAAGAAAAAGAGAAAGAACAACATTGAACAGTCTCACAAATTGAGTAAAGAAATATAAAACGCCTTACGAATTAAAACCTACTGCTGGTCTTTATGAATTTTTGCACGTTACGAAAAATATCATTATTTTGTTGAGAAGACAGATCCGGAATGACAGATAACAATATATCTAAAGAGATTTCATTAACAAAATTTAGATTTTGAAACAATTCAAACCCTATTAAATAACGCTGACAATCATACCATTGCGATTGTATTGCAGACATCTCAAAAATGAGAAACATTTAATGACACCTGCTTCACAGACGATAACAAAGAAATGAGAACTGATCCCTAATCTTCCTTAGCGGTAATAATTGACCCAAAAATCAAAGATATGTACATATTAGTCAAATTTATAATGGAAATTAAAATCCGATAGTTAGAAAAACTTAAACGGCCTTTGTTAATTGCTTCGGTATTCTCTGTTTTTAGCATTTTCTCAGGTTTGTTTAATATTCTGTCGTATTACGCGAACATGTTTGGTAAACTTCTTAAATGGAAAAAAAAATCTAAAATAAAAGGGATTATTGGTATGTTAGTATCAACTGGGATATCACAACTTAGACATTCTTAAAATCACTATCCATTTAAAAACAGATGATGAACATCTACTTAATGAGAAAAATGCTAATACATAATGAGAAGTGGGCGGGGGTTTCCTGCTTTCGATTGTTGAAATTACATCAATTTTATATCTGCCGCATTCCTAAGCGACCAGTCAGACAGATTAGGTATCTATGTACCTTACAGTACCGGTACCAAAGGTATAGATAACGGATTATATTGGCGCAGAAAACTATTTCGATACCCGAGTTATACATCAATTGCATAACCTCTGTTTGGAAGAGAACCAAAGGTAAACTGTTATTACTATTTTTAGTTTTTTGTGTCAGGACTTAACGTCATTGCCAGAGGGTGTTAATAATGTTATTTCTAATAAAATTGTTATCAGTTAGAAATTATGTATGTATTAGCAAACGCTATTGTAGCGTTAGCCATTTATACATAGTTATATGATACAGACTATAGGCGAGTCTACTATGAAACAGACTCTAACGGTATGTACTGATTGTACTGTCCCTGGTATTGTGTACTACGTCACGATAATTCAATAAAGCATGACTTGACCAGTCTCTGTATCACGAAGAACCTAGGGTAAATACAACATACAACAGCTATTTTATATTTATTTTTGTATCTACTGAAATTTACCAATTTAATATATATTTTGGGTGAGTAATGCTTGTGAATATCTGAGGATGTTGATTTAGACACTTTAAGTTTGTACTGATTATTCTATTTCTAGTTTCGTTTTAGCATACAATTTAAGTTTTGTTATGACGTCATTTTCGTCGTATAGATAAGTATATATAAATACTGACATATATAGATACTGATGTCATGCATAAAAACTTAAGTTATTATTGATTCATCTGAAACATACAGGTATATCGATATATCATTAATTTGACATTTCGAACTGTGTTACATATAAGTTTAACGAAACTTACTGTAGTGTTGTTTATATACAAATTGGCAAATACGTCAACCTGTGTTTATAATGATCCCACACCTCCTGTCCTTGTAACCCTACACACACATATACACTCTTACATTAGTTAGTATCTGCTAATATCAGTTAATGACAATGTTGCCTATCAGATTATACCTTATTACCTGTACAAATCGAGGATTATCGTTTCCTGTTCGGACACAGTGTAGCCATTAACTTCTGTTATAAAATTTACTTCCGTGTAACTGCACTTCCGGGGAAAACCAATATTATCCTGTACAGTAGAGGTTCCTGGAATTCAAACACGTTACAAGTACAATACTGATGCCTTATTCGTTCCTGACCGGTTCTAGGGGGACTAGAAGTTTGTCCGGGACATACGACCTTGTTGTTTTAAGATTTATTTATTTTTCAAATGCAGATACATAGTCTTGTATGTCTGCCATACTTGTTACCACATCTCTATCAAACTATGCGGTTTACTTCATCAAAGAGGAAATATAATAAACCAGTTAGTATGGCAGCACACGACATGTCACAGTCATTTGATCTCATCAAATGAGAGTTCAAATAATTCAGTTTTACTTGATGATTCATCAATGATGTAATTTGTCATTTTTGAAGCATTCAAAATTCAGATGGAGGCAACTGAAAACGTAGGAAGGGTTGGCGTGGGATGTATATCTATATCGCCATTCGCGTTTCTTAGAGAGAAAGCTCTTTTTATAAGAGAACGAATTCATTCCTTTTATCAGAGATATGGAAGAGTAAAGTAAATCCACATTGGCACTAAGAATGGTAGTAAGAGATCATTGCTTGGTTTGGAAACTTTCAGAGCAAAAGTTCAGTAAAATGTTGTCAACAAAATTCTTGTGAAGTGTCGAATTTGATTATAAACAAGGCATCAGGTTAATATGGGCTACGGCTCTTGCATCATATCGCTCATCGAATATCATAGAAGCTTTTTTTTTTAGATGTTTTCAACAAATGATAAAAAAAAATGTTGTAGATTGTTCATTTCATTTTTTTTTATTAAATCAATCAAATTCAAAGGGAATTGGGCAACAGGCAAGGCCTCAGCAATTCCTCTTCCTGGAGGTATATTTCAAAAAATAGCAGATAATAAACTATTAATATTAAAATTGGTTTGGTACATAACGAATCATTTAGTTTGCAAGTAATACTGAAATATTCTAACAGTACATTCCACTTTGTGTAAGTAAATATACCTCCATCCATCCACACACACACACACACACAACATCAACAATGCACCCTCACAAACACGCACACACACACACATTTATGTTAAAAATAATTACAAAAGGTTTTTAATTGTGTGGGACGATGTCGTTATAATGACTCATTTCTGATGTTACATTATATACTTGTATTCACGTCTTACATTATGAGGGTTGGTTCCCAGACGTGAACCTTGGTGAAAAAAGTGTGATTCACTTTTTGCCCAGTGAAGCGGATTTGTTTCAGACACTATTTCGATTTCATAGACTAAGTGTTTTAATGCCGGATGTGATACGAAATATGTATGACGAGGATGTATTCTGAGTAGATTCGGTAGCCACGTGAAACATCAATAGAAAAAGTATTCATATAGGATGTATTGTTATACAATACGTAAAGTGCATTGATATTATTTGAATGACATCATATGTATTTGTAGTTGATGTGCATGCTTTTACCACAAAGGGGTGGAAATATAGAACGTAAGTGCGTATATTGTCCACGTGATCATATCCTCTGACTCAATTTATACAAACGCATGGTCTATATGTATTAGTTATGAGGTGGCTTGCATTTTCGGTAAGTTCCCTATTTACTTCTTTTGAGCTCATAGTTTAAGCAGTTCTTATATACTACAGCTTAGATACAGAACTATATATTAAAAATATATATATATTTGCCATAGTCTAGTAAGTTGGGGGGGGATCTTTATAACACAATGTCAATACAACAGGACAGACAATTAACTCAACGTCGATATAATAAAGCCAACAACACTGAAATCCCATAGTTGGAACTAGGATCATGACATTGAACACAAAAAGGCTTCATTATAGATTATTTTTCTAAAGCACTATTAAATCACTCTCATTTCTCTATATATGCGTTTCTGTAAAGTATGTCAATTAAAGACCAGTAGAATACTTACGTGTGAACGACCCGTACTTTGATGTCATCAATCACGTATCTGTGGTAATCTATATTCTTAAAATGTTACTTCATTTCATAACTGTTCTTTTAACTGGTTGATATGAACGTTGTACATATCGTCCTAAGTTTTAATTAATTACTCCGCCATTTTGAAGTATGACTTCTACACAATTACATACATGTACCTTCTTAACCCTAATAAAGTTATATAGCCTGTTTTCAAATCATGCAATTTAAGGGCTGCATTTCAAAATACTAAGTTTCAATTACATAACGATATTTTGTGCTTTTGTCATTATGTAGGCTTGCATGCGTAAGATACATTATATGGAAAGTTTTAAATATGATGGCAAATCTTCTTTTTTTTAATTTTCGGAATTTTGCCGTTATTGTAAATTTTTCACTTAAGTGTAAACAATTTGCGCTTATGTACGTAAGTTATTTCTAGATAAAACTTCCTTGAACGGTCGCCTTATTCCATTTGGGCGCTTACTCTCCTATTTCCAATTAAAATAATATGTGTTAGCCCATTGAATTCAATCATTTTGGACGGTGCATTAAAAGTATAATGAAACAAATCGGTGTTACAAGACATGACCAAGTGTGGAAAGTGCTGTTTTAATATGTCGTTGATGTATAAACGAAAGCATGTAACTGGTACTTGGCCAGATTCAGTTTTAAATCAAAGGCAGTTTTTTGCCATTAGTATATTTTTCCATATTATTTGTGTTAAATACACGAGGCGATTTGTCCGTACCACTGAGTACATGTTCGTCACTGGCATTTAGCAATCCCATCTATTCCTTCGCCTCCTATAACGCGAAATAACGAAGAGGCAAGGTGACACAAATCACCCACCACATAGCTTTGTAGTTCTCCTGCTTATATAGTTCAGAGACATATAAAGCCATATAGTATGCAGTATATACGTCTCTGTATAGTTGTGTCGCAAACTTCTTCTTCACTGTCCTATTCTGATGTATATGTCCATCCATTAAGTCACGCTACATTGCAGATCGAGATCTATGTATAGCAGATGAATGAAAATATTTCAATTGTTTCTTTAACAGCATGTTGGCATCTTACTGTTCGTGGTATAGACTTTGGTATTCAGTGGGAACAGAGGAACAGTGAGGTTCAGTTAGGCTTCAGTATATGTTGACAGGCATGTACTCGTTGTCAGAAAGTCGAATGTCAATGTGTGTATGAAGAAATATCTTTCAACGCACTGACTACATGTTAATGTAATTGCATTTGTTCAATTAAAACGACCATAGGAATATACGATGATTGGATAAGTGTATACAGGATTTCGTCTTGTACAAGAGAAATGTAATGCTAGTTTCTCTTAATTTTCCCCATTACACATCACTTTAAACTTTATCAAATTGCGTTATGTTGCGTTTGGCAATTGACCAAACAAATATTTGAGGTTTTCTAACAAGTAGAATTGAATCTGCGTTGAATACATGCTACGTTCTGCCATAGTTAGATACGTTATCACTGGTCCAGGATTTTGACAGGTAATATCATGACACCAATAAAAGCCTTCACTTCCTTTCATAAGATTCTCCTGTGCGTGCTTTTATGTTGTCTTTCGTTATACTTTGGTGTCTCCTCGATTCTTGATGTTATCAAATTCAATTCGGAATAATACACTGTGTATTTACATGTGGTACATGTTTTTATTTTATTTCATTAGACGTCGTTACAAGTTGTACTTGAAATGCTGATGAAACACAGTCATATGACACAGGAACTTTGTGTTCCGTCTCTATAGATAATAATTATGCTCTTAAGACGCTACAAGTGGTACAATATAATCATAACAACGTGATAGGACCAGACTGGTTTATCATAATATCAGAAACAGTCATAAATGAAGAGATACGTATTATCATAGGTGAAGTGTTGGGGGGAGGGGGGACAATGGCGGCAAGACTGAGGTACTGATACTCTCCAAAGTACGGGGCGTGACCACAAAATGAGGAGGGCTTGTTACTTATCCAATAGTACAACGATTCTATCTCATATGCCCCTCCCCGTCTACTGAACCCTATGGGAGTCATCCTAAACGCCAGCACAATGATGTAGGCCAAACATTGAAACAAAATCAAAGACAAGAAACTAATAGACGAAAGTGTCTTTCTTCTGTTTAGAAAGTATCATCACGGGCGTATTAAAATAATCATACATACGGACAGCTTAAATATAATATATCTATATAATAACAAAAAAAATCTTAATTAAATATTAGGTGATTTATTATTAATATATGATAAAATCCAATCATAGCATCACGTTAATTCCAACAATGCACTTTATTTATGAAAGTGAAACAAGATGAATCTGCATAAAGCACAAAAGTTTCATTGTATCACATGTCCTCCTACAGCATTCAAAGTGCTTACTACTTTTTCAGTCAGTTTCATTGTATCAAATTACACTTGTTAAATGTTTGTTGTAATTGTAACTAAATAATTTCTTAAATAATACATATTTGACTCAAACCGGGAGATGAATCACGGGTGGTAAATAATGGTCAATTTATCTGCAGTTGGTTGATATTAAAATTTCAAATAAATTAGTATTTACCTTTAACTGTCACAAGAAACCAAAAAATGTCCATTTTATAAACCAACTACAAGATAGGCTATAGTACAGTCACATGTAAATTCCAAACACTCCTAGAAATAAAGTACAAAAAGGTCAAAGTAATGAGTGCTACTTGTGTTTTAAGTAAAAGTAAAACCAGCTATAGTTTTAATATCAATATACCCATTAAAAGTTTAAACTATCCATTATCTTTTTTTCAAGTTTGAATTTATTGTCCAATATTTACAGTCCGCTATTTTAATACTGGACTGTGATCGAAAGATATTGGACTGGTACAGGTAATATATTCCATTGTTACTGATAACACTTCGTATGCTTGATTCACAGAACAATGGCCGACATCAGAGCAATGTTTTATTTTTAAACAAAAAAGAAATGTTTTTTTACTGTGACATTATTTTCTTGCGCATGAATATAGTAATCAAAATAGATAGTGTTTGCATAACCACAAACGTAGCCTCGATAACTGTTCGGAGTGG